ACAATGATGAATATCGTCATGGCCTAATCCCAAACTTTGGTCGTGTTTTCTTGAATGTGCTAAACTTGCATCTTCCCCGGGAATTTGCCATTGAGCAATTAGTTTGGGTTTAAATGTTCTTGATCTGTGCTAGAATGAGCTTTGACTTGGAATTTATTTCTTTATCGAGAAAAAGGGGAAGCTTTTGCATCTTTCTTATGTGCTGGTTGGAAAGTGAAAATTCTTGTAGTGTAAGTGAAGCATGGTTCCAACGATCTGGATCTCCTTCTAGATTGGTGGCCAGCCTAGCTTGTCTTTGAAGTTGATAAAAATTCACATTTTGGACGTAAATGTCAATTAATCGGCAACTTGGTTAGTGTAGAGGTTGGTAATATTCTTTGAATGCGTGTTACAGAGGAGGATCATTTGTTTCAGAATCTATTTCTAATGCATACCAATTGTTTTCTCCATTGTAAGCTTGAAAGAATATGCTGGACCATCTTATCTGACATGATGTTCTGTCAGTGGGTATAAGACCAATTTGATTCTGTTGTCGACCATAAGGAATCAGAACTTCTAAAATGATTCCTTCTAAAAAATGGTCCAGTTTTGCATTATATACTATTCTTGTAGCACGTTACTAACATGTTTTTAAAGCATAAAATGGATTACAATCTTCTTTGGCACAATTTTGTTGGTGATCTATGGAGTGCAGAGACTGGTTCTTCGTGTTGTGCTTGTATTTATTTTAATGATGGTTGAGAACCTAATGATATCTTCAAATTTGTTTAATCTCTTCCAGGTTCGGAGAATGGATACCTTCTTGTTTACCTCTGAATCTGTAAATGAGGGACATCCAGACAAGCTCTGTGATCAGATATCTGATGCAGTGCTTGATGCCTGCCTTGAACAAGATCCTGACAGCAAAGTTGCTTGCGAGACTTGCACCAAGACCAACATGGTAATGGTTTTTGGTGAGATCACCACCAAAGCAAATGTTGACTATGAGAAGATTGTGCGCGACACATGCCGCAACATTGGATTTATCTCTGATGATGTTGGTCTTGACGCTGATAACTGCAAGGTCCTAGTTAATATTGAGCAACAGAGCCCTGACATTGCTCAGGGTGTCCATGGTCACCTTACCAAGCGCCCTGAAGAGATTGGTGCTGGTGACCAGGGTCACATGTTTGGCTATGCCACAGATGAGACACCCGAGTTGATGCCTCTCAGCCATGTTCTTGCAACTAAACTTGGTGCACGTTTAACTGAAGTCCGCAAGAATGGAACCTGCCCTTGGTTGAGACCTGATGGCAAGACCCAAGTCACCGTTGAATACTGCAATGACAATGGAGCAATGGTTCCAGTCAGGGTCCACACTGTTCTCATTTCCACTCAGCACGATGAGACTGTCACCAACGATGAGATTGCCAAGGATCTCAAGGAGCATGTCATCAAGACTGTTATTCCTGAGAAGTATCTTGATGAGAAGACTATCTTCCACCTCAATCCTTCTGGCCGTTTTGTGATTGGTGGCCCTCATGGAGATGCTGGTCTCACTGGTCGTAAAATCATCATTGACACCTACGGCGGTTGGGGTGCCCATGGTGGTGGTGCCTTCTCTGGTAAGGACCCAACAAAGGTTGACAGGAGTGGTGCCTACATTGTTAGGCAGGCTGCCAAGAGCATTGTTGCTAGTGGTCTAGCTCGCAGGTGCATAGTCCAGGTCTCTTATGCCATCGGTGTTCCAGAGCCATTGTCTGTGTTTGTTGACACTTACGGCACCGGAAAGATACCAGACAAGGAAATTTTGAAGATTGTGAAGGAGAACTTCGATTTCAGGCCAGGGATGATTGCAATTCACTTGGACTTGAAGAGGGGTGGCAATTCCCGATTCTTGAAAACGGCTGCCTATGGCCACTTCGGAAGAGATGATGGTGACTTCACTTGGGAGGTTGCCAAGTCCCTTAAATGGGAGAAGCCCCAGAATTAGCTTGTTGCCTAAGTGAGAAGTGTTGTAGCTAGTAGCTGCTGCTCTGACTGAATGGTCTGCAGTATGCGTATTGTTTGCTTCTGTCTACTGTTCTTTCCCTCTCTTGAATGGCCCCTTTCACCCGTGTCGCTACTCCCATTCTTATTGTTTGGTTTACGGTATCTTGTTCTTGCATGGAGATGTATGCATATTAGTGGTTAATAAAAAAAATTGATAGCCAAATTGAGAATGTCCCAATAAAAGCCTTTTATATTTTTTAACTATTTGCTCAGCGCTACCAATTTGTGGAGATTTGATACATTCTTCTCGTCAAGCGGTATTGGTTTTTAAAGTCGAATAACTGTCTAGTTGACACTTGCATATTTCGACCTTTCTCTCTATTTCTTGACGAAATTATCCACATTGATTGCAGCTCAATTTTTATATTTTAAGATTTTGTATTTTATTTTTATCAAGCAGCAACACTTGCACTAATCTTACTTTAATTTATCCAGAATTGGCTTTGTCAAGAATTAGCTTCAAATCGTGATAGAATGTTATTTTCCTTTAGACTTTATTTGTCCGGTATAACGTGCAATAATCTTGGACAAATATTCTTTAAGATAAGATGAAGTTTATTTGTCTTAAATTCTTGCACAAAGTAAAACAAGCCCTTTTGAACTAAGGAGTGCTTTTGGGGAGGATACACAGTAGTAGGAAAGTGATTTTCTACAAATCACTCTCTACTTGACCTCTTTATATAGAAGAGATTGTTCAAGAAACAAAAAAACTCATTAAATACTTATATGAATAGATTCAAAGTATTGTGTATAAATTCATGCACTTTAATTCATGCATCTCATGATTCTAAACAAAAACATGAATCTATCCTTTCATTCAAAGATTCCCACATACATGAATATATTCATGACTGAATGTACATTTTAGAAACATTCACAATATTATACATGTATAAAAAAATGAATGAATATACATTAATTATATGTATGTATATCATACAAATTTTGAAAAATTTTTAACAATCCCCTGCCATTTTTAAAATTTAGAAAATGGATTTCCAAAAGGTCACCAAATAATCTGACATTCATATGCATAAAATAATGGCGTCTTTCGATTGAACCACTATCTTAGTGAATGTTCTTTGAAATCAATCCTACAAAATGGTAGACAAACTTTGAACCACTTGGATATTGAACCAACCTCATAAACACATCACATTATGAGCAATGCACATCCATAAATTCTTCAACGATACATTTTACGGCCTTGTATCACTATCCTTTTATGAATGTTACAAAGTTCTTAACTTTGTGATTTGCCGAAAACCAACAACACCCTCATTTTCTAGCTACTAGTACAATCTAAAGCGAGAGTGTCACTGTATGGTGTAGACGCATAGTGTTATTTTTTGAAATTTCTAATATACCTTTAATTATAATGGCAAATTTGTCCCAATCTATTCAAAAAAAAAAAAAATGTCAACAATTAGTAGATAGTTATTTGAATCCGAAGGTAGCTCTCTCTGTAACTTCCACGTATTTTGCTTCACTTCCATCGTCTTTTTGTATGTATTTACGTTATAATGGAATTTGACCCATGAAACTCATAAAAAATGTTCTAAAGTGATAATTTTGATAAATATATTTTTTGTTAACTGCACACATGTTAGAGAGTGCCTTAAGCACTAGGATGAATAAACTGCACCTACACATCATGACACTCTTCTTCTCGATGATGAAAATTGGCATTGGCCTTTGAAAATGAAGGTATGCTTGTCCTTTAGCGTATTTCACATTTACATTATAAGTTGCTATGTATTATCTAAAACATTTTTAGATTTAATTGCAGTAAAGTGTTTAAAATAAAAGTGAAAGAGCCCAAAGTTAGAACTAGTGTATATTAAAAAAGTACAAGTCCAAACATAAGTCACTCGTAGTAATTAGTTTACCTCACTTTTTCATTTTCTGGTTGCTTTTTGCTGAAAAAAAAAGATTAGCATTTAAAAATTAGAACCTCCTGATCACGAGTACTCTTAATTGCTCGTATAATTGAGAGAGGAGGGAAAACAAGGAATTTAAAGGTCTTGTTCTATGAAATCTGGATTTGTACTAATCATAACAGATAATTGCCACGCCGCACCTTTATTACCTATGTCTCAACAATGGTTGGTTTGTTTGTTAAGTTGGTAAACGCTGATGGGGATTAATTGCCCAACCTTTCACTTTTATTGTCTACACTCTGCAGGCATAAGTTAGAATTTTTTTTTTTAAACAGAAACATTAGAAGTATTATTGATATAAAAAACAAGCCATACAACTTGATCAAAGGCTCATTATATTGAGCTTTACAAGAGTGTCCTTAGACATTGAGGATTAAAGTGTTCCTCAACTTGCACTAATTTAATAGCACAAGCACTGATCCTTCTACTTATCATATTACATTGGTGGTGTATCAAGCTAAATGAGCATTTCATAAACAAAGATCTAACATTTGAATGTCTTCCAGCTGAGCAAAAAGTCTTATGTCTTGTGCTTTGTTCCTCTCAAACAACATATCAACTGAGGAGATGAAACTTGCACTTTCACTTCCTGCTAGAGCTTCTCCCTAGCCTTACACAGTGTTAGTTTGATTGCCGCAGCATATTCCAACATGCTTTCTCCTGTGCTTCTTTCCCTTATGGCCCAGACAGCATATGTATTATTGCCTTGAGTAGCCACTATACCAATTCCTAGTGGCTTTTCTTCCTCCTGCTGGCTGACTTCCACTACAATGTTCATTAGATTGTTTTCATCATTGCTATACAGTTCTTCCTCATTTCTTGATGTTGTTTCTTGAATGCTCACTCGTTTGTCTCTACTTTGAGCTTCAGTGTACTCCAACCACTCTAGGTGAGCTTTCTGTACAATTTCAAAAGGGTGACGGTATTTATTGTTGAAAATCTTCTCATTCTTAACTTTCCACAATTGCCAGAGAATGTTGACAGTAAGTGCTTGGTGGAAATTTCCTTCAGTCCTGGTTGTAGCTTCCATTAGGCCACACCACCATTTATTGAAATTTTCTCTATAATCTGCAAGTCCATCCCATTGCAATGGAGCCAATCTTTAGACTTCCTTTGCTTGATTGCAGAAAAAGAACAGGTGTTCCTTCCCCACATATCTGGCAAATTGGCTCTCCTATTCTGGTCCTGCAATATATCAATTCTTTCACTGGAAGAGCTTTGTCCAAGCATTTCCACATAAAGTTCTTCAATTTGCCTTTAATGTTCAGTCTCCATATCCACTTCCACTCCTTCTCTCTTTGTCTAGTGGTGCTTGATTCCCCTTGTCATCTGGATTCCTTTTGCTGAATATCCTTTCCTCTACTCAAAAACTTATAAATTGATTTGACAGAATAATTACCATTATTGCTTCCTGTCCAGAAATTGCATTCTTCCCTTCTTGCCAAACTAATTGGATTTTTTAGTATATTTGCAGCATCTTTCCCATTGAAAGTTCTGAAGATCAAGTGTTTATTCCATCTGAAATTCGTTATCAGTTCTTCCACCTTTTGCATTGGAATATTGAGCTGTCTGGATAATACTTGGCCTTCATGATCTTGCTTATCAACAGATTATGACATGTCACTAGTCTTCAGATTTGCTTTTCCAGTAGAGCCTTATTGAAATCCTACAAGTCCCTGAACCCCTCTACTTTTGTCCTTGGTAAGCTTACTCTAGGAGCACCAATGCATCTTTCTCTTTCCATTTTCTTTCCCCCACCAGAATCTAGCCTTCATAGGACTAATATCCTTACATAGCTTCCCTGGTAATTTGAAGTAGGACATAGCATATGTAGGTAAAGCCATTGTGATGGCTTTTAGTAGTATTTCCTTCCATGCAATACTCAGTAATTTATTCTTCTAGTTCTCCATCCTCTGACAGCTATTTCTGATAAATCCAAACAGTTGTTCTTTCGATCTTGTGATGACCATAGGCAAACCAAGGTATTTACCTTGGCTAACCTTCTAAATGTTTCCCAACCGACTGACTTTACTTGCTTCTCCTCAGGTACATTCTTGTTGAAGAATACAAATGATTTGTCAAAGTCTATCCTCTGACCTGATCCTTTCTCATGTTTTGCCAAAATCTTCATCAATTCTTCAGCCTGACTTGGGATTGCTTTCCAGAAGATTAGTGTATCATCAGCAAAAAATAGGTGGGATGCAGACGGCCCTCTTCTACGAATGCTAATTCTTGATATCTGTTTCATATCTTCCGCTCTTCTTAGCATGTTAGATAGTCCCTCTGAGCAGATTAGGAACAAGTAGGGGGATAATGGATCCCCCTATTAGCATAAGTTATAGCTTACGGAGTATGTTAGAAGTTTTTGATATCTACAATCATTAATTTTTTTAACCTCTCACCCCTCCTCACACTCTTTTTGCTCTTGATCATTAGGTTTGAGATTCAAACTTTGAATTTGGCGGTGGGGAGAATTCTAAAAGTCCCCCTCTGACCACTGATGCAATCACTAATTGAATAGTAATTGCTCTTGATTGTCAAGTTCAAGATTCAAACTTTGAATTGACGGTGGGGAGAATTCTAAAACTTCTTCCCTGTCCACTGATGCAACTATGATGATTAACTCACAAAAGGTTCGAGTCCTTCATGAGGTCACCATGAACTCTTTTCTTCAAATTTTTTTCCTAATAGGAAAGAGATGTGATTTAAAAAATCAAGAGAGGGCAGAGGAGTAGAATTTAGAATTTCTAATTCTTGGAATTTCGACCTTAACCATTAAACCAAAACCTTCTTGGCAGGTCACCAAGAACTTAAATACATGAACCAATTTAATTCTTTGGATTTTTCTTTTTTTTTTTTTTTTGGCGCCATCGATTTTTTTCAGACATGATACTACGACAAAAATCGAGACTTTATTGGCCTATTCGATAACTGAATAATTTTGAGCATTTATCAAACACAGGACTTCGATTATTCTTGAATTTCAATTATCAACTAAACTAAACCTAATCTGAAATAATAGCAAATCATATATTATATACTCAAAAAAAGAAAAAAATGGAAAGATTTATTCACGACAATCAAATATGTCATCAGCAAGAGGATAGAGTGACAAAACTATTCAAAATTGAAGCAGGAACAAGTATAGCAAGTGAATGGGAAAATTTTTTTTGGCTATTCCCAAATCATTTATTAAATTGGAAGAGTATTCACAAATATGGAAGTCTGTACTACTCAATCCCAAAAATATCAGTAACCCATGCAGTTAACATGGAAATGGAGATGAGGATTCCATATTTTCCCTCCCCCCTTAATTCCCTCCTTAAACCGCAACCCCAAACCTTTTGGGCTAGGAGTCGATCACCTGACTTGACAGGCAGGAGCATGGCTCCCTGGCCAACAGCTTAACAAGTTGTAGGTTAAAATGAAGATCCATTTTCCATCAAAGAACATTTTTTGATCATAATTCAATTAAATGTCGATTGGCGATACACTTCAGCTATTCATCCTATTGTAGCTCCAAATTCTTATCTGCAATTTATTTGACAAAAAAAAAAAAAAAAACCAATACCAAAATATCATGCCATCTAGTAATCTCTTTAAACCACTTTCACCAGCAATTATTTTATACCTTTATATAATAACATGGGGCCGGGTTTTGCAAATTATTTAGTCAGGCTTTATATATATTAAGATCTGATCGAAGTGGTAAAATTGTGAAAATACGGACACCAATCTCACACACACCGAGAAAGGGTGCAACCATGTTTGTAGTAAGTGGAGTGCCAGCATGAGATCAAGGAAACAGATTGGGTAAGATGCCTTTTGCCAATTACATGTGGCAAATCTACTATTAACTTGGAAAGAATATGGTTAGAGAAGTGATTCATCAGAAGAAGATTCATTCATTTTTTTTAATAACAACATAGAGCACAGAGTGTTGGTTCAACTTGATAGACTCCTTTAATTACATTGATAAAAGCACAAGAAGACTCTTTAATGTAAAATAGTCCAACTTAAGTGTCCAAAATGGTAGAAGTAGTATTAAGCTGATTCATCCTGATTCCCAATTTGATCACATTCTTGGGCTTCTTGGGAGATCTCTGCTACATTAGACTTTAGTTTGCCGGCTTTTTGGGAGATTCCTGCTACATTAGACTTGAGCATTCGTGTTTACCCCACAACAATTTGTTCCTTAAATTGTAACTGATCCCATAGGCTAATCTACCCATCTAAATGACTTCCTAACAACTGTCCGACCCTAATCCCACTGATCCCATTGGCGAATCCACCCATCTAAATGACCGCCTAACTGTTGACCAAAGTACCTCATCCTACATCGGAAGTTTAGGAAGGGCTGAAGGACTTCCTAACTATAAATAAGGGCCCTGGCTCTTCGTCTTGGAATCATCCCAAAATTGTCTATTTATCTTCTAAGGTAATTTTCTTATTTCTCCCTCTATTGTAATATTTCACTTTGTAGATATTTTTAATGAAATATAATTTGGTAGTGTCCGAGGACGTAGGCATTATTGACCGAACCTCGTTAAATTCTGGTGTTCTTTATTTGTTATTTATTTCTTCAATAGCTATTATAGGGTATAGTTGTCGTGTTATATTGTGCTAGTAAATTACATTTGTAGAGTAATTCTGTCTAAGGAGATTGGGTTTTAAGCGGGATGATGCAAATCGATTCTCCAAGGACCACTCGAGAAGAAATCGAATTGATCAGACAGCGGAAGGATCTATCTTGATCAGGTTATGGGTACAAAAGACGGATTCTAAACCAATCAAGGACAACTCGAGATTGTTTAGAACGGTAGAATGGCGTCACAATTCAACATGGTCTTGAATTGATAAATCAAAACTTGAACAAAGGAGATTCGACTCACTTTGTATCAAGGGACATTCCCCAAGGAACAAGAGAAAACTCTCAATTTTTATTCATAATTGTCTTCTTCATCATATATCATGAGCTTGGCTATTTATAGCCTTACAAGAGTTAAAAACCTAATCTAAGTTGGAAACAAATCAAGTTTCCTTACTTGATACGACTTCTAAATTTGACACAATTTTCTAAACAAATTTGGAAGCAATTAACTATTTTTCTAAAACTCTAATTCAACTAGAATAGGAAACTAACTAACTCAAATTGGCTTAACTATGGTTAACATGACCTTAGCCTTTATTCCCTAATTCAAACAACTTACTTAACTCTCAAATTAACTCTAATTAACAACTAACATTGCTGAAAACTCAATTAAATAAATGATAACAAGAAATAAGCATGACACAGGGTTGGATCTTCAATGATTCTCGAGTTCCATTGCACCATCAACCATCATTGGAATATGAAAACTTTTAAAATGAATTTTCTTGGACTTGAAAGGAATCCAATTCTTCATGTTCTCATCATTCCCCTCTTCTTGAAAGACGATTTGTCCTCAAATAAGTGTTTGCTTACAAAGAAATAACTTGAAAAATGTTTTGGTATATACAATCCAAGAAGCATGTCTGCCTTTTTTTTTTTGTCCGAATTGCTCTCCTGAAAAGGGATGACAAGTGGCGGCCTAACTTCCTAAAATATAGAAAAAGATGGCCGAATGTGAGGATAAGATGAATGGGTTAAGGAAAATCCTAAAAAGTAGGAGAAGTGGTGGCTAAAATGTAGGGATAGGTCTTTGTAACGGGTTAGGAAACTGGGTTGGGAGTGTTTTGGGAATGGCTAAATCGGTAGGCTCTTTGGAAGTCAATCAATATTGGGAAATCAATCAAGATTTGGCAATCAATCAAGATATCAATCAAGATTTGGAAATCAATCAAGACTTGAAAATCAATCAAGATTTGGAAACCAATCAAAACACAACTCACTTTGGAAACAAACACAAGGAAAAAAAATTCTTTTTTTCGGATGAACAGTTCTGCTATAGTACTATAAACAGTATTACTACAGTAGCGGCGGATGAACAGTACTACTACAGGTGTGAACAGTGCCTATGAACAGTACTCCGTGAACAGTTCCGATTTTTGTTTTTTGACGACTCGACATAAGATTACGACTTCATTTAGAAGAAATTTAATTAGAGTTAAACCCTTGAAAAATCTGTTTTCAAAAACGTAATCACACCAAGAAATTTCAATCTCGATCAATCAGAGTACAACATAAAAGAGTCCAACTTAAAAGTGTGCAAAAAGGGAGGGTAGAACTATCAGAGCACAAGAAGACTCCCAGTCAAATAAGATAACAGCAAAGCAAAGGGAAAGAGTTCACAACTCAAGATGACAGAGCAAACGTAAAAGAGTCTAACTTAAAAAGTAAGTATGCAACAGGATAAAACTAGTAAGTTGATTCATTTTGCTTCTTCAATTTGATCAAATTTTTTATCTTGCGGGCTATTTTAGAGATTTCCGTTACACTAGACTTGAGCAGTTGATCTTCATGCTTGACACTATTTTCATCAGCCCACAAGATTCTTCTCCAAATCTTGTTGGCAGTCACACTTGCGCCAAACTTCCTAAGATTATAGCCAAGCCCATATGCCAATCCACCCATCTCAGCAACAGCCCAACACCAATTGCTAGGTTAGAAGCTTTGTCCAGAGCCTTGTCCTCTCCATCTTTTTCACTTTCACCGCACAATTCAAAGTGTTCGAGGATTTTAGCATTCATGTCATCAGTCTTTTCAATTCTTTCAGCGTCATTTAGTGTCAACACAACCTTTGCGCTTCCCTCCATCACCCCATCATCAACCTCGTACTTGATCTCCATATTTGACAACTCATCTCCATGACAACCACCTTTTCTGACCTTAATTGCACCATGTAAAAATGTTAGACCACAACATTACACGTCATTGTAATTCATCACCAACACAATCATGAACCTTAATTACACCATGTAAAAGTGTTGGAACATAACATTAGACAAGTAACATAAGTATAAAAAATATGAAGGTGTGCACTCAAAAAGTATCAAATTGAATACCTGATTTCTCGTGTCCCCGAATAATCTTGTCATCACCAACATTGAAGCTGCTTGACGGCTCTTAACCATTTTCTTTAGCCAACAAGAATGCATAAAAAAAATTGAGCCAATTAAAATATGAATTTATCATGTCTAAGTATATAAAAGAGTGATTTAGTTTATAGTAGTCATATGTCTCCATGAACTGCAAACTTAAATTTTCAAGAAAGTTAGAGATAATAAATGTAATTTGTTAAAACACCTATCACCACGATGAGTTGACTTAATATCAGACAACCCACCTCTCTCGACCCAAAAATAAATTTTTCATATTGTCATACTATTAAAATGAAAAGGGAAAGACATAGCACCTAAATTAACAGCAATTATTTGAACTATAAGATCCCAATGATGCATGGTTGACTTCTAATCATAATTCCAGCACAATAGAAGAAAATTGCATTGTCGCTTTGAATTTCTCTAATACCAGCCCAAGAGAAATAATTTAACCCAAATATTCCTTGAGTTACTTTGAGAAGCAGATTCAATTGTTGTGTTGAATTTCTCTAATACCAGCACAAGAAGTGGTTTAACCCAAATATTCCCTTTAATGTCTCTAATAACAACAATATACAAGAGGACTCCTTCCCAGTCAAATAAGATAACAGAGTACAACGTAAAAGAGTCCAACTTAAAAGTGTGCAAAAAGGGAGGGTAGAACTATCAGAGTACAAGAAGACTCCCAGTCAAATAAGATAACAGCAAAGCAAAGGGAAAGAGTTCACAACTCAAGATGATAGAGCAAATGTAAAAGAGTCTAACTTAAAAAGTAAGTATGCAACATGATAAAACTATTAAGCTGATTCATTTTGCTTCTTCAATTTGACCAAATTTTTTATCTTGCGGGCTTTTTTTAGAGATTTTCGCTACACTAGACTTGAGCAGCTGATCTTCATGCTTGACACTGTCTTCATCAGCCCACAAGATTCTTCTCCAGATCTTGTTGGCAGTCACACTTGGGCCAAACTTCCTAAGATTATAGCCAAGCCCATATGCTAATCCACCTATCTCAGCAACAGCCGCACACCAATTGCTAGGTTAGAAGCTTTGTCTAGAGCATTGTCCTCTCAATCTTTTTCACTTTTACCGCACAATTCAAAGTGTTTGAGAATTTTGGCATTCATGTCATTAGTCTTTTCAATTCTTTCAGCGTCATTTGGCGTCAACACAACCTTTGCGCTTCCTTCCATCACCCCATCTTCAACCTCGTACTTGATCTCCATCTTTGTTGACTCATTTCCAAGACAACCACCTTTTTTGACCTTAATTGCACCGTATAAAAATGTTAGACCACAACATTACACATCATTGTAATTCATCACCAACACAACCATGAACCTTAATTATACCATGTAAAGGTGTTGGAACACAACATTACACATGTAACATAAGTATAAAAAATATGAAGGTGTGCACTCAAAAAGTATCAAATTGAATACCTGATTTCTCATGACCCCGATTAACCTTGTCATCACCAACATGGAAGCTGCTTGACGATTCTTAACCATCTTCTTGAGCCAACAAGAATGCACAAAAAAAAAATTGAGCCAATTAAAATATGAATTTATCATGTCTAAGTATATAAAAGAGTGATTTAGTTTACAGTAGTCATATGTCTCCATGAACTGCAAACTTAAACTTTCAAGAATGCTAGAGATAATAAATGTAATTTGTTAAAACACCTATCACCATGATGAGTTGACTTAATATCAGACAACCCACCTCCCTCGACCGAAAATAAATTTTTTATATTGTCATACTATTAAAATGAAAAGGAAAATATACAGCACCTAAATTAATAGCAATTATCTGAACTATAAGATCCCAAGGATGCATGGTTGACTTCTAATCGTAATTCTAGCACAAGAGAAGAAAATTGCATTGTTGCCTTGAATTTCTCTAATACTAGCTCAAGAGAAATGATTTAACCCAAATATTCCTTGAGTTACTTTGAGAAGTAGATTCGATTGTTGTGTTGAATTTCTCTAATACCAGCACAAGAAGTGGTTTAACCCAAACATTCCCTTTAATTTCTCTAATAACAACAATAAACAAGAGGATTCCTTTCCAGTCAAATAAGATAACAGAGCGCAACGCAACACAAGGGGACTCCTTCCCAGTCAAAAAAGATAACAGAGTACAACGTAAAAGAGTCCAACATAAAAGTGTGTAAAAAGAGAGGGTAGAACTATCAGAGCACAAGAAGACTCCCAGTCAAATAAGATAACAACAACGCAAATGGAAAGAATTCACAACTCAAGATGACAGAGCAAATGTAATAGAGTCCAACTTAAAAAGAAAGTATGCAACAGGCTAAAACTATTAAGTTTATTCGTTCTGCTTCTTCAATTTGATCATATTTTTTATCTTACGGGTTTTTTCAGAGATTTCCACTATACTAGACTTGAGCAGCTGATCTTCATGCTTGACACTGTCTTCATCAGCCCACAAGATTCTTCTCCAAATCTTGTTGGCAGTCACACTTGGGCCAAATTTCCTAAGATTATAACCAAGCCTATATGCCAATCCACCCATCTCAGCAACAGCCTCACACCAATTGCTAGGTTAGAAGCTTTGTCCAGAGCCTTGTCTTCTCCATCTTTTTCACTTTCACCGCACAATTCAAAGTGTTTTGAAGATTTTAGCATTCATGTCATCAGTCTTTTCAATTCTTTCAGCGTCATTTAGTGTAAACACAACCTTTGCGCTTCCCTCCATCACCCCATCATCAACCTTGTACTTAATCTCCATCTTTGTTAATTCATCTCCAAGACAATCACCTTTTTTTACCTTAATTACACCGCGTAAAAATGTTAAACCACAACATTACACATCATTGTAATTCACCACCAACACAACCATGAACCTTAATTACACCATGTAAAAGTGTTGGAACACAACATTACACATGTAACATAAGTATAAAAAATATGAAGGTGTGCACTCAAAAAGTATCAAATTGAATACCTGATTTCTCATTTCCCCAAATAATCTTGTCATCACCAACATGGAAGCTGCTTGATGGTTCTTAACCATCTTCTTTAGCCAACAAGAATGCACCAAAAAAAAAATTGAGTCAATTAAAATATGAATTTATCATGTCTAAGTATATAAAAGAGTGATTTAGTTTATAGTGGTCATATGTCTTCATTAACCGCAAACTTAAACTTTCAAGAAAGCTAGAGATAATAAATGTAATTTGTTAAAACACCTATCACCACGATGAGTTGACTTAATATCAGACAACCCACCTCCCTCGACCCAAAATAAAATTTTCATATTGTCATACTATTAAAATGAAAAGGAAAAAATACAACACCTAAATTAATAGCAATTATCTGAACTATAAGATCCCAAGGATGCATGGTTGACTTCTAATCATAATTCCAGCACAAGAGAAGAAAATTGCATTGTTGCCTTGAATTTGTCTAATATCAGCCCAAGAGAAATGATTTAACCCAAATATTCCTTGACTTACTTTGAGATGCAGATTCGATTGTTGTGTTGAATTTCTCTAATACCAGCACAAGAAGTGGTTTAACCCAAACATTCCCTTTAATTTCTCTAATAACAACAATATACAAGAGGACTCTTTTGCAGTCAAATATGATAATAGAGCGCAACACAACACAAAAGGACTCTTTCCCAGTCAAATAAGATAACAGAGTATAACGTAAAAGAGTCCAACTTAAAAGTGTGCAAAAAGGGAGGGTAGAACTATCAGGGCACAAGAAGACTCCCAGTCAAATAAGATAACAGCAAAGCAAAGGGAAAGAGTTCACAACTCAAGATGATAGAGCAAATGTAAAAGAGTCTAACTTAAAAAGTAAGTATGCAACATGATAAAACTATTAAGCTGATTCATTTTGCTTCTTCAATTTGACCAAATTTTTTATCTTGCGGGCTTTTTTTAGAGATTTTCGCTACACTAGACTTGAGCAGCTGATCTTCATGCTTGACACTGTCTTCATCAGCCCACAAGATTCTTCTCCAGATCTTGTTGGCAGTCACACTTGGGCCAAACTTCCTAAGATTATAGCCAAGCCCATATGCCAATCCACCTATCTCAGCAACAGCCGCACACCAATTGCTAGGTTAGAAGCTTTGTCTAGAGCATTGTCCTCTCAATCTTTTTCACTTTTACCGCACAATTCAAAGTGTTTGAGAATTTTGGCATTCATGTCATTAATCTTTTCAATTCTTTCAGCGTCATTTGGCGTCAACACAACCTTTGCGCTTCCTTCCATCACCCCATCTTCAACCTCGTACTTGATCTCCATCTTTGTTGACTCATCTCCAAGACAACCACCTTTTTTGACCTTAATTGCACCGTATAAAAATGTTAGACCACAACATTACACATCATTGTAATTCATCACCAACACAACCATGAACCTTAATTATACCATGTAAAGGTGTTGGAACACAACAATACACATGTAACATAAGTATAAAAAATATGAAGGTGTGCACTCAAAAAGTATCAAATTGAATACCTGATTTCTCATGTCCCCGATTAACCTTGTCATCACCAACATGGAAGCTGCTTGACGATTCTTAACCATCTTCTTGAGCCAACAAGAATGCACAAAAAAAAAATTGAGCCAATTAAAATATGAATTTATCATGTCCAAGTATATAAAAGAGTGATTTAGTTTACAGTAGTCATATGTCTCCATGAACTGCAAACTTAAACTTTCAAGAATGCTAGAGATAATAAATGTAATTTGTTAAAACACCTATCACCACGATGAGTTGACTTAATATCAGACAACCCATCTCCCTCGACCCAAAATAAATTTTTTATATTGTCATACTATTAAAATGAAAAGGAAAATATACAGCACCTAAATTAATACTCCCTCCCTTTTTTTATAACTGACGTTTAAGGTTGTGCACACCAATTAAGAAAAGTTTTCATTGCTTAAATCTATACACCATTTTCCTTTTATACCCTCATTAATTATCCAATTCACCATGTTTTCTCTCACTAGAGTATTAAATGGTGCTGTTTTACTAGGCCAAAAGCAATGCAAACTAACTCTCACCAAACTAAATGTTTCTAAAATGAAACTAAATGTTTCTAAAATGAAAAACTTTCCCCCCAAAAATTTTCACCTAAATTTTTTATCTGAAATTTTAAACATTTTTAACTCCCACCAAATATTTTGAGAGGCTATAAGGATTTCACTATATAAATTAGTCTCAAGAGAAATACATTATTTTTATTCTTTTAGACATGGCTTCAAAACATAAACAGCCTCTTCTTGAAATAGATTTAAATATTGAATTCACACAAGCACATGTTGAAGATGGAAGTACTCCAAAGGAAGCCTACAACCATTTACCGGATCTTAACATTGATGCAGCCGGTGATTTTATTCTTGACCTTAATGTCATTCCAAGTTCTTCAATGCATGAGATGTTAACACCAACTCAACCGTTGTTGGATCTAAATCAAGAGCCATCAACACTTTGTGAAGATAATATTGGTACCTAATATTTTTTCTCTTATTATCTCATTTAATTAGATCATTTACTTTTTTCCGTTATTTTTAATTTAAATATGGTTATACTCCCTGCTTCATTAGATCATTTAATTAGATCTAATTCTCAACATATTAGACATTCTAATTCTATACACATTTATTGTTAAAGCCATCATATTGATCATTTCTCAAATACGGTCTCTCCATTCTCAAATAAATGTGATTATTGTTAATTACATTGAATTAAATGTGATTTATTCTCCATTCGCCATCATATTATTGAATTAAATGTGATTTATTCTCCATTCTCAACATTCTAATGATTTATTTATATGATATTAAACAGAGTATGTAGATGTTGACACTGAGAATATCATTGGAGAAGCAGAAAATCAACATAATATTCAAACTTTGTCCAATGAAAAACGTAGGGCCATATATCATACTCTTTTGGAAAAGAGTGATAATGGAAAATTGAAAAAAGGGGTGACAAATATGGTGGCTTCATCATTTTCGGTCTCTATGAGAACCGTACAACGTATTTGGAAACAAGCAAAGGACTTCGGTGATGTTAATCATAGGAAAACGGGAAATTGTGGACGTAAGAGAGTCCAGATTGACTATGATCGATTTCGGGAGATACCTTTGGCTGAACGAACAACGTTAAGTTCATTATCTAATGCCTTGAAAATAAGTCAATCTACATTGTCTAAACTTCGTAAGTTAGGAGATATACGACATCATTCAAATGCTATAAAGCCTTTCTTGAAGGAAGAAAATAAAATAGCACGCTTGAGATTTTGCTTGTCAATGCTCGAACATGATGGCACAACACATGATCCAGTTTTTAAAAGTATGCATAACATTATTCATGTTGATGAAAAGTGGTTCTATATGACAAAGAAGTCTACCAAGTACTATTTGGTACCAGACGAGGAAGATCCACATCGCACTATTCAAAGTAAAAATTTCATTGGAAAAATTATGTTCTTAGTGGCTTTAGCTCGACCAAGATTTGATCCACAAGGGAACGAAGTATTCTCTGGGAAAATTGGTGTCTGGCCGTTTGTTACCCAAGAGTCGGCTAAAAGGACAAGTGCTAATAGAGTTGTAGGGACACTACAAACGAAGCCAATAACCTCAGTGACAAGAGAAGTTACAAGATCATTTTTTATTGAGAAGCTTATACCAGCAATAAAGGCAAAATGGCCAAGAGATGACTTGAGAAATCCAATATTTGTTCAGCAAGATAATGCAAGGCCTCACATTGATTAAAATGATATTGAATTTGTTCAAGCGGCTACGCAAGATGGTTTCGATATTCGTTTGATGCGTCAACCTCCAAACTCTCCAGATTTAAATATTTTGGATCTTGGATTTTTTAGTGCTATTCAGGCAATAAAAGATAGGGAGTCAACTAAAACTTTTGATGAGCTTATTGGAGCTGTTGTTGAGGCATACGAAAACTATCCAACAACAAAAGTTAACAGGATATTTTTAACCTTACAGTCATGCATGACAGAAGTTATGAAAGCGAAAGGCTGCAACAGGTATAAACTCATGCACATGAAGAAAGCAATGTTAGAAAGGCAAGGTCAGCTTCCCGATCAATTGAAATGTGATCTCCATGTGGTTCAAGAAGTTCTCAATTATCTGAATAATGTTTCAGCCGTATGAGCCATGAGGGTATCAACTCATCAAAAAGACTTGGATCATTCTTGGAAGTTGAAAAGGATGCAAAGGAGCTTAACCCATATCGATGACGTCGACGATGACGATGAGCTTTCCGTATTCCTTGCCATAGTTGATCAGAGCCACCCTTCCGATCACAAGCTAGTAGAAATTGGGAAGATAAATTTTTAACATGATCTTGACCACTTCTTCAAATTCTTTTTCTGCGACTTCTTCTCCTATTTCATCAGGGATTTTGTTCAAGTCAAAATCAAACTTTGCAGGTTCATTCAAATCAATACATAATGGAGCTTTATTTATTTTGGCACATTCGACTTCAACTTCTGCATCTTCATCCTCTCTTGTTTCTTCAAAAGAATCTTCAACCACTTGTTTAATTAACTCATCTTCAAATTCTTGGTCCATTCAAATTCTTGATGCGGAGGGAGGCGGTGATGGAGAAGAACAAAGGGGTTCAACATACTGTGAGAAAAGAAGAAAGAATATGGAAGGGCAGAGAGAAGCAATAATTACTAGGAGTAGTAATTAAGAACCCTGTAAGAGAGATAAAAGGGTAAAATTGTGAAAAAATAATAAATGCTGCATGGGGATAGTAAAACGACAGATAAAAGTACTTAAGAGCAAATTCCTTAAACGTCAGTTATAAAAAAAGGGAGGGAGTAGCAATTATCTGAACTATAAGATCCCAAGGATGCATGGTTGACTTTACAGTATAACTTTATAAAGATGTTCCATATTAATCAACTAAATCCGGCCCTGCTAATTAAGAAAGGGAAACCTGACACTCTTACAGGCTTTATCCAATTTTAGGCCTTTCTCTTCACCCCATTTATCACTTAACACTCTGATAGGCTGTATCAATTCGGACATTCTCTGAAATCCATTTATCTGTGTAGACATGGAACTCATATTTTCAGGGTTTTTATCTTCTTTTTCTTTTTCCTTTTTCTCTGTCCCTATCTTCTCAGCAAGTCCGTTTTCATTGTTGAACTCCAACATGAAAAAGTTGGCTAATGATAACAAGAATAGGAATATTCAATCTGTATCTTATCTAATGCCAAGATGTAGAGAGAGACAGAGAGGAAAAAAAGAAAAAAGATGCAAAGAACCTTCAATGCAAAACGCCATTGGGTAAGTTGAGTCCTAATTTTAAACCTTGAAATGTAAACTCACCATTTATTTTTGGTAATATAACCCACCATATGTCCTATTCACCTTGGCCGGGTAGAATCATGTCTGAAAATCGATGGTAGAAAAAGAAAGAATCAAAGAAACAAAAAACGATAAGAGAAAGAGATACTATTTGAAAACTGGCCAGCTTTCCCAAAATATCAAAGGTGCAACCTTTTCCGAGAGCTAGCAAAGAAAACCAAGAATATCAAAGATGCAACCTTTTCTTAGAGCTGGCAAAGGAGAAACCTTTCCTTAAATCCAACAATGTAGCTTTCAGCAGAGTGAGTATTTCAACCTGAAAACAAACCAAAACAAGAAACAAGAAATAAGAAATAGAAGCAGGTGACTTTAAAGAATCCAACTTAAACCTAAGAAAACCTAAAAGAGTGATCACTTAATAATGCGGAAAAGAAATAAAGAAGAAAAAATACACAAAGGAATGATAGAGAAAGAACTGTACGGATAAGGGCTAGCTTGGAGGGAAGGAAACTCTTCTGGATCTTCCTAACTATTGCTTTTACTGAACGAGTGTTTGCCTCACCAGACTTACATACATATAGTATTTGCCTGTTTATTTACTTTAGAAAGGTATTTCACGGTTTCGGAAGGTTTTGGCAAACTCCTGGAATTTTTTCTCTTTACTACTCTTTAGTCAAACACCATTTCCCATATGGAAGAATATGACTATTTGGGTTTTTTTTTCATCTAATAAATAGTTAGCAGAGGATAAATAGAGCAAGGTGGCTAAAACAAATAAAAGTAGAGCAAATTTCTGACCAAAAAAAAAAAAGAGCAAAGTGATTAATGTTAGACCAAAAGTATACTAATCAGCAATTCTTTACATAAGTTAAGCCATAATGTATGTTTAAACTCATAAAACATGATTGGTATTAATAATCAAAATTTTCATATGTTGTTTGTGAAGGCAGCTTAGGGTGCAAGCCTATCGAGTTGCTAGACTCGTGCTTGTGAGCAGCTTAGTACTCAAGTTTGAATGGAGTTCGAGTTATGTGATAGGTGATTAGAGTGAGTTCAAGTATGAATAAGTGATGCTTGAGGACTTCACAAGTCTTAGCGAGTAATGCTAGATACATTTAATTAATATATTGACAAATTTATTTTTATATTTATTAGATGAAATGTCAATTATATACCTTGTTAAACATTGTCCAACACATTAAGTAAGCTCAATTGAGATCAAGTTCGTGTAATTACATAAAATGAAATCGAGCTCGAGATCGTACTTGGATATTTTAACTCAAGTTGAGATCGAGTAGTGTCGACCTTGTATAGTGCACTATTCAAACTCGACACTACTCGATCTCAGTTTGAGTTAAAATATCCAAGCATGAACTCAACTCAATAGTGCACTATATGAGGTCGAATAGTTGAGATATCCGAGTTTGAGTAGTGCACTATACGAGGTCGGCTCAACTCGATTGCACCCAATATGCAACTTTTATATTTTTATGACCATGGTTCTAGGCGATTACTCAATACACTCTGAGCATTTTATGAATAAAATTTTCAATTAGAGGGTAATCATTTATATGAAAAATTATACCTGCAATGTCAAAGTAACACAAATTGCCTATTGCAGCAACCCTTCAAATTGTTGTCCATTTACTCTAAAATTTGAAATGGCTCCTCCATTATGTTATGTTCTTTATTTTTTCTTTTTATGCGTGTGTCAAATATCACCATAATATGTAATACATGTAATTTTGGCAAGAGCAAATTTATCAAATAAGTTTCCCTTTTCCCCATTAAATTAAGCAAAAGTTAGACATAGTATGACTTTTTATTTATAGCATTCCCCTGACAATGTATTAACCATCTTTATCCTATCTATAAAAATCCTACTTTTTCTTTGAAAATTATATTAAAAAAAAGAAAAATATCATATTCCTTTTCTTATTTGAGAACCTATAGGCCATATTAGCTTTCACGTTGATACAACTCTGTGTGCAAGGGCATTAACATGCATGTCCCACGCTGCTGTTAATTTGTGGATTGGCAACTTGACAAGGAAAGGTTGCTTGCAGCTCCACAGCTTGGGTTTGGCCACTGGACTAATAAATCTTATCCCAACTTAAATGCCAACTTAAATGCGGCCCAGATTGGGCTGAAAAGAAGTCCCAATGCCAGCATCGGCTGTTGGGTTCTTTCAGTTAGCTTGGGCTGCTGAAGCTTGCTAATTCAATAATCTGTTCCTTATTTGCGATTTCAAGATAATTATCTTAATTTAGAAGTATAATTTATCAACCAAAAGTTCTTTCCTATTTCTATCGACAAAGAAAAGTAGTCTATCAAAATTTGTGAGTTATTTTTCCTTTAATGTCTACTGTTTTCTGGTTGAAATTGTATTACCCCCTCTTCTAGTCAGCCTAAGATAAGTAATACAAACCCCTCAACACTCTAGAGGGGGTTAATTCAGTTATAAGGTGGTTTAATTTCATTCAAAAATTACTAAAAAATTGGATCCGGATGAGATAGGGTAAGTCATCAAATGCTGTCTCATCTCACTAGCCAAATGAACCGGTAGTATTTGTTTGTTTGCTTGGAAAATGGTGCTTCGTTTGGATTGGCCTATTTTTCAAAAACAAGTTTTTCAAATATAATGTTACAGTAATACACAAATAAAAATAATTCAAAAAAAATCTCATCCATACAATATATCAAATGATTCAAAAAGCATCTATAGTAAAAGTTTTTCATATACACTGTTATAGTAAAATATTTCAAAAATACTCCCAAAAATATCTATCCAAACGGATTAGTATTTCACGTTTTAGGAAGGTTTTTGAAAACTCCCCAAACTTTTTCTCTTTACGATTGCTTAGTCAAAATCCTATTCACAAATGGAAGACTTCGATTATTTTCATTTGTTGCAAAAAAAAAAAAAAAACGAAGAAAACAATTAGTGGTGGGAGTTGAAATTAATAAACGGTTAAGTAGAGGATAAGTTTAACAATAGAGAATAGTGATCACCAAAAGCGTAGTAATCAATAGTTTTTGGCATAAGTCGCATTTTCATACATAATTTCTTGTTGGGAATTGGGTTGGGTGATAAGATGAGAGAGATTATAAGTAGAAGTCCTAATTTCAAAACCTCTCACTTAAAAAAAAACTGCTTTTATGAGATGGTAATCTTTTACAGGGAAATCAAATTGTGTTAGCACTCTCAAAGTATGTGGGAAAAAAATCTTCTATTTAATCCTGTCAAAGTATTTGTACTCTAAAAATTTGAGTTGGCTTCTCAATCATGTCCTCTTCTTCTTTTCTTGGGTGAGATGTAACGCACATAACTTTTGCAAATGCAAATTTGTGAGTTAAATTCTTCTGTTCCTAGTTCAAACTTCAAACAAGAGGCCATTTTCTTGAGGTTCAAACAAGTAAGGTTCCCTTTA